AACATCCCGTCAAATATGACGAGGAGGCGCGAATTAAAGTTCACACCTCGGCTGTCTCTCCCGGGCGTTCCTGCTCCCCAGTCTCGTTGTTTCTGGCTAGATAACTAGGCGCTGCATCCCAAACGAGAGAAAAAAAAGGAACTGCGAAGCTGATGGATGATCACGTAGACGAAGAAGAAGAGATTGTGATGATTCTTTTCTATTCTCCCCTGATTGCGATGGAGAAAGAAGAGGAGCAGCGAGCGCCGAAAAAGCAGCGTCGCCGTCTTGTTCCCCTTCTCCAGGGTTTATTTTCGTCGTACAAGCAAGCTGCCTCCCTCCTCGTCTTTGCTTGTATGACAGCGACGCTTCGCCATGCCAGCGATGCTGGATGTAAAGCAAACAGGAAGAACGCGTACTTATTGCTACTTTAAGTGTTACTGTATCCTTCTCCCCAGCATAGGCCCTTGTGAAGACCTGTCAACGCTTCAGTGGCTCGGCATCTCGGTAATAAAAGAGAAGGGTCGGCTATGGTGGCTCTGAACATTCGGCATCGGGGCGCCGCCTTTTTTCTTATTGGGGTGCACTTGGACGCGTCATAATCCGATTACGAAGCATTGCTAAGGCGTCATAATCGGATAATGGCCGTGCCCAAGCGCGGCCATAATCTGAGGAAGATGGCGGCCCCTAAAGCTAGACTTGCAAACGTGTATACACGTTTGCAAGTGAGAGCGCCGCCATCTTGCTCGGTTGGGGTGTGCAATTGGGCGTGTCATAACCCGATTACGAAGCCTAGCTAAGGCGTCGTAATCGGATTATGGGCGCGCCGAAGCGCACCCGACTGAGTAGGATGGCGGCGCCCTGAGACCGGACTTGCATCGCCGCCGCGTTTTCCGCCCAGAGTTTTGCCCCAGCGGCAAAAGCTGGGCGAATTCGCTAGCGGAATCGCAACTGCAAACGTGCCAAGCAGGGAACACATGAGCGATTAAAACGGACGCGCGGCAGCTTCCATGGCAACTTGCGTGCACGCTGTGACGTGGCGGATAGGCATAGGTCCACGTCAATGCGTCCTGGGCTGTTGCTATGGGAATCAGCGCGCGGCGCCCGTTTTTGCCGCTCATGTGTTCCCTGCTTGTTTCCCTTTTTCGCGGCGTCAGCGTCGGCGTAACCGAGCTAAATTTAGCGCGAAAATCGACAACACGTGAGCCCAACACCAATTCAATTCCCCACTAAATTTAGCGGGGAAATTCAGTTTCTCCGCTAGATTTGGAGTACAAATTCAGTTTCTCCGCTAGATTTAGGAAGCAAATTCAGTTTCTCTGCTAGATTAAGCGGGAAAATTCCCCGCTAAATTCGGGTAATTAAATTGCTGTTGAGGTCACGTGACGTCAAGTTTACCGTTAAATCTGGTGGAGAACCTGAATTGTCCGCTAAATGTAGCGGAGAAACTCAATTTCCTCGCTAAATTTAGCGGGGAATCGAATTGGTGTTAACGTCACGTGTCGTCAATTTTTCCGCTACATCTAGCGGAGAAGGTGAATTTGTTCATAGGTGACATGACACCAGGTCATGTGACGTGATTTTTCCCCACTAAATATAGAGGGGAAACTGCATTGATGTTGAGGTCACGTGGCATCAATTTTTCGGCTAAATTTAGCGGGTAAACTGTGGGAGGATGGGAGTGTATGGAGGAGGAGGATGGGAGAGCACGCAGGAGGAGGAAGAGGAGAGGGTATAGAGGAGTAGGAGGGGCATACCCTCCCCTCCTCCTCAAGAGTTGCGCTCTAATTTCGCGTTACAGAGATTTGTAAATGGCTCATTTGCTTAAGTTACTGCTTCATGGTTTCATTTAGAAACTTGCTGAGCGTCATCTAAAACCACACACTTTGTAAATGCTGGAAACTCGGAGGGTGTGGGAAGCGCGCTAGTACGCTAAAGTGACCACTCATGCAACAGGCGCAACGCTGGCGGTACGAAAACGTGGCAAGAAATCGGCGCGGGCGCATTTTGGCACGCCCAGCCTTGTGCCTGATGCACGAGCGGTTACTTGACCGCACCATCGCGTTTCCTATGGTGCTTCAAGTCTTTCTAAAATTGACTGAATGACCCTCATCAAGTTTTTAGTTGGAATCATAAGTTCATCCTCATGAATTAAAATATTAATAAACACATTTTAGATATAATTATACGACGTATCGCGACGTCTTCCTGGCCTTTTAAGTTATAACAGACCTGCACAGACTGCATTAGTGTAGCTCTCCCGCCTTTAAAAAAACAAACAAAAAAGTCTGTCATGGTCTTTTTTAATCCTCCTCCAAGAAAGACGCCCTGTATAACGAAAGAATATTAAACGGATACCTAGTTAACCATGTTGAATTAACCCGAGACTGGGGTGGAGAAGAAACATCAACACGTAGGAGGGACAGGAAAAAGGAAAGGACGACGTCTCAAACTCAGCTAGATCGTTTATTTAGTCCACCTCCTTATATAGTCTCGATCTCAAGGTCGTCTCCACCAACACAAAAGGGCCAAGTCTATACAGTTCAAGCGCCACAGTGTACTATATAAGAAGGGTATTATACCTGTGTCAGACGGCGTTCTAAAGGTCCTTTTCACTAAGCTCCTTTATAAAATCGTCCAATCTGCTAGCGATGTTGAGAACACGCGTACCCACTGCGTGCGCTGGTCCTGTCTTTTTTTGTGTCCCTTCTACGTACGTTTTGATGTTTCTTCTCTACCCCAGTCTCAGGTTAATTCAGCATGGTTAATATTCACCAGCTCGCCTGCACCCTTATGATAATTTCTAAGATACCTAGTTATTCAACAAATAGAATATTGTTTTGCGGTCTAATGGTTTTTATCCTAAAAAGACTCTGACACCTACCAAAATGTTTTTTTTTTCATTTAATTTATTATGGTGTCAGAAGATTACCCAATCAGTATTTTGCTACAGCCGCCAAGTATATTTTAATAAAGTAAAAAAAAAAAAAAGACAACTGCTCGAAACCGAAACCGAAACTGGATTGGGGAGAAAGAAGATATATAAAGGAGGAGAAAGTTGGGTAGAAGTCACGTGACTGTGATACTTTTTCTTTTACCCCATCAACGTGTTTTCAGCTTTTTAGAAGCCACGAAAAATGGGTATAATTTATTTCTATTTTTAATATTGTGTGTGTGCTTTGGATGACCCATGACTTCGATTATATTTGGTGGTTCTGTCTAAACCATAGAAAACGGCACGTGACCACAAAGAGGAGAGTGAGCGTGACTCAAACCTGCCAGTACTCGGTGATATATTTTCGGGCGGAAAGAAAACGAATTTAGTTGGACTCTCATATGTCATGTACAAATAAAAACTGTGAGGGAACTAAACGTGCAAATTTCGACATCAATTTATACAAACCAACTTCACTATTTTTTCTTTATTGGGGGGGGGGGGGGGGGGGGGGAGGAAACGTTAGAAGCAATATATAGGACGTTTAATTTTAAATTGACCATTTTTTAAGGGGTCGTTGTCTCTTTCGTGTATTTATCAGGCTCGGTAATATCGTCATGGTAATTTAGCTACTTAAATAAGAACTGCTAATTATTTTTAATTATTGTTTTAGGCGTAACGTTGCAATCGCACTATTGAGAACAATTACTATTAGAAGCCAAACCAATTAAAATCATTTAAAAAATGTTAATTTTTTTTTTTATAAATATTAATGGGTCAATTTTCACGTTTTCTAATCCCATTTAAAAATTTCGGGCAAAAAAAAAAAAGTGCTCCACAAGCTTTGCCTACAGTGGGCTCATTCGATTTACTTGCACTCGGTGCACACCCCCGTATTCGATTTACGAGTGCGGCCTATCTCAGAACACTACCGGAAGTACATTGCCTTGCACTTCTCTGCACTGGTGCGAGCTGAGGTCCCTTGATACTTCTTTTACAAGTAACGACAACCAATTCAAATCAAAATGCACACTCCGCTGGAACAAAATGGCGGCATTCAATTCAAACTACAGGGTGTCTCAAATAGCAGCCAGGCTCTTTTAATCGACGCCAAATAGACCTCTTCATGTAACCAAAGTTAATCCGGTAAAATAAACGTTTATTCCTTCACAAACCAACGTCGCATTTCCAATAAACGATACTTCAGCACCCGGCCACCGCTGACACAGTTGTTTTGGCTCAAAGCGTGGGAACGTCAACGCTTCCAAACTTAGAGTTTATCCTTTCTATTGTTGACAGAACTATAATTTATCTGTATTGAAGGACGTGACCAGCTAGAGCGATGGTGAGAAAAAATCCTTCGGGCAGCGGCAGACTGTTGCCTTCTGAACGGATGTCTCCGATGATATTAGCAGCATCTACACAAAGACTGCACCAAGGACGCTTAGGGGTTCCGCGTAGCAACAATCTCGCGCCTTTTGGGCCTGCTTGTGGCTTCCGAAGCTGTTTGAAATGACGCCTCTTATACATAGCTTTGTTGGGGTTTCTCTCCACTTTTACGTAGTGTACAGAATAAAAATGATTTTGCTTTCAAACAATCATGCGGCCATTTTTAATCAAAGGTAACGAGTAACGGGTAAGGTAAATGATAGGAGATACCGTAAAATAATAACGACATTACTTTCCTCGTTATTCATTTGAGATTCTAACGACTACGTTAGTAAAAAAAAACTAACGCATTGCCAGTAACGTCGTTACTTGTAACGCTTTAGTTCCAGCGCGGTTTCTACCGGACTTCTTATATTACTCGTATATATAATAACTAAGTTTTTTACGCATTCTCAGCGAATTGCTGGCCGACGATGAGCACAAACCAGTCTTCGTGGCACGGAAGAAGCAAAAACCGTTGGTTCTCAGGTCGCACAACCATTTGTGATAATCAGAAATTCAGAAAGACACGCAAAGGCAAACATTTTTATCTACATTATTATTTCTTGTCTCAATGAGGCGAATATGAATTGAATGATCACACAATATGGTTCCAAAAGTCTTATTTATTTAAGCTCTTGCTTCGACCTTTCTTTTATTCTTTGGAGTCAATAGATGATAGAAAGAAAATCTACACAAGCACGATTCGTTGATTTATGTCTCACTCTAAATCCTCTGAAACTTGAGCCAAACGCCATCCTGAGGTTTGCAGAAGACAAATGAAGTGGACAGTTTGAGGTGATCCTCCTGTTTGAAAAAAATGAAGAAGCGACGTTTCAGACAATAGTTCCTGTCATTTGTAGGAACCACGTGTTCCCCGTCTCCCTGTCTAGGCCTAGCACACGCAGGCCGAGGGAACAACTAGGAGGCAGCTTCCCGGATACGAGGCAAGGCCGCATTCCTCGAAGAAGGCGGTGTCCCCCTCGCCCTTTTGGGTGGATGTGCCTCTGGCGCACCCTTGGGAATGATTGTGGACGCGACCCATCTGCGGGATAAGCTACATACTACCGTGTCCATTTCCCGTAGGCTAGATAAGCAGGCCACGAACGGCGGCCGAGACCCTCTCGTTGGGGGAGGCTCTGGCTCTCGGCCCTCGGAGCCTCTTTCTTTTTGAGCTTCCCCTTCCCACGAATCTGCCTAGTATAGTAGCGTCCCTCCCCCCCCCCCCCCTTCCAGATGAACCTGTCTGGTACGACAGCGCCGGGTTCCGGAAGAAATGTCCCCGGAAAAAACGTCCCCGGAAAAAATGTCCCCGGAAAAAAAGTCCCCGGAAAAAATGTCCCCGGAAAAAAAGGCCCCAGGTGGAAAGTAGGAAAAAATGTCCCCAAAGGGACATTTTTTTCACTTCAAGTACAATCCGTTTTTGACTTTTGTGTATGAATCAAGAGTTTGTCATTTCATTCCTGATTTTGCAACATTGCATCTCAACTGTTTGTGTTTGTTTTTCATTGTGAATAAAACAACACTTCTAGCTTTTTTCCGGGGCCTTTTCTTCCGGGGACATTTTTTCCGGGGACATTTATTCCGGGGACATTTTTTCCTACACCCGACAGCGCCGACATTTTTTCGTTGTTTTCATTTATTAGTTTTGGCCGACGGGCGAAGTGTGATGGCGAAAAGCCCGTCACTCTACGGACCCACAGACATCCTGTGTTTCTACGTGGTACCCCATGAAAGGTAAAACCCACACATTTTAACACAATGCTTGCGAAGTCGGATGTCGTTTTTGCCTAAAAGCTCAAGTACAAAAGTACCAATGATTTACCAGTGAAAACTTCGGTCTCAGCTGCAGTCGTGGCGTGTTGTCACCGCCACTGATAACTGACCCTTTACTCAAGGTATCGACTCCCACGTGTTGTCTCTCTCTCTCTCTCTTTCTCTTTCGAAACTGAAGGGGAGGAGACTCCGAACATTTTGTATATTCCAAGTATATATCACACATCACTTGAACAGGAAAGTTATCCGAGCCCAGCGACACAATATATTGTTTATAAAGTAACCGGAAAAGCAATCAGAAGAGATTCCCCTGGTGGTGTGTCCGACAGTTCCAGGACACACCAATTGCAAGAATTCCATATGCCATTCTGCGTCACAAGGAAAGAGTAAGAAGAGCGCATACACGGGTGGCGTTGATCATCGAGCGTTTAGTTTTACTCCTGCATGTAGCATGAAGTGAAATATTCCAGCTAGGCCTGAATCACATGGGGTAATCCTGCTTGCGATTTCGCAGTAGCGACCTCACTTGTACAGCAAACTAAAGCTTGGACGGAAGCTGCAGCACTCGACATCGCAGCTACGAAATCGAAAGCGTCTCCGCACTGTGTGACCAAACTTGCAAAACGAGATAAGCTGCAAACAATGAAACAAGGAACCTCCGTGAACGGATTGGTAAAAATTGGAGTTACATGAAATCTGCGTAGCATTGTCTCTTAGAGCGTAACGTACCCGCAGAATCACCAACCTGCTCCGGTATCACTGCTCCCCAATCGTTTACTCGCCAGACTAGTCATGATCTCGCGGCGTGACCGTAAACCAGAGGCTGGAGTGCCACCCTTCTGTTTGTCAACAATTTATTGATGTCGTTTTAGATTTCAATCTTTCTCACATAGATTCTCTTCCTAGCGAGTCTCTTTCAAACATTTTAGATGTTGTTCTTACTTCTCACCCTGAATTATTTCCAACGCCTTTGGTATTCTTGGACGGCATCAGTGACCACAAATCATTTCATTTTTACATAAAAGTTGAAACTACAAAAATTGTTCACTCAGGAGAGAAAATATTGCTATACAGCAAAGGCAATTACGAAGAAATAAACCGAGCGTTGTGTGGCTATGTCTTTTTCTTCTTAATTAATTTTGATTCAAATTGGAACCTAATTAAAAACAAGTTATATGAACGTGTTAACCTTAACATCCCCTTCAAATACCTCAGGCCTTCCTCGACGAAACCATGGTTCAATCGACATTGTATCTCTGTAACAAAATGAAAAGGCTTTTCCGTGCCGCTAAACGTGATGACACTTCTGAGTCTTGGTTCAAATATAAACATAGTGAAAATAACTACAAAAAGTAACTACGAGAGTGCAAAAGCGTGTACTCTCAGCAGGCGCTCCCTTCTATATTACTTAACAACCCTCGTCGTTTCGGGAGTATTGTTAACTCAAAAGACCACGCATTACCCAAGTTTTTTAGCGACTCAGGTGATATGCTATTAAGTTTAATAATGTTTTTTGCAACGTCTATACACCTATCTCTGCAGACTGTTTACCTGGTCACGTTCCTGCTGATTATTTTCCGAGGGACCCTGTTTCTGTAGAATTTATTGGTGTATCTCAAATTATTAACTCATTAAAGATCTCGTCGTCCTTTGGCGTTGACAATATAAACACCAGAATATTACGTAACACTAGCCTGTCTTCTAGTTTATTTTTGACCAAAATATTTCAGCAGTCTTTGGAGTCAGGGTTGGTGCCTGAGGACTGGAAAGTCGGCAAGGTCGTTCCGATCCCCAAAAGCGGCAGCGAGTTTTCTCCCTTCAACTACAGGCCTATATCTCTCACTTGCATTCCATCTAAGATAATGAAGCATATCATTTTCACGCATCTGTTTGATTTCCTCTAAAACAACTCCTTTTTTTAGCAACGCGCAGCATGGTTTCCGCCGCAACTTCTCTTGTGAAACACAGCTCCTATTTCTTACTAATGACCTTCACCTAAACCTTCACTGCGGCTACCCGACTAGTGCTGTATTTCTGGACTTTGCCGAAGTTTTTGACAAAGTACCACATAACCTCCTTTTTCTTAAACTTTCTATTCTAAAGATTGGCCCTATATATTAAAATAGATAGAATCATTCCTACTTCAACCTCGTCAGTTTGTTTGTGCTAACCACACCAAATCCTCCCTCTGTTCTGTTTCTTCTGGTGTCTCCCAGGGGACAGTACTTGGCCCATTACTCTTCTTAATATATATTAATGACCTTCCTCTCAACATCTCTTCCACTGTGCGGCTTTTTGCCGATGACTGTATAATCTACCGTAAGATAACCTCTACTGATGATATTGTAACGGTTCAGGACGACATCTCTAAAATTTCTGAATGGTGTAACATATGGCGTATGTCCTTGAATCCTAACAAATATCATTGCATGTGCTTTTCTCGTTCACTGTCAATTACCAATCCTGTAGTTCTTTTTAGCTCTGTTCCCATTGATTATAGTAACCAACACAAATACTGAGGCTTGCATCTCACACCTAATCTATCATGGAATACACCTATTAAAACAATTATATCCTCTGCGAACCGCTGTCTAGGCTACATTAGCCCGAACTTTAGATCCTCACCTGAAAACCTAAAACGTATTTTTTTACACTACTATTGTTAGGCCTAAATTAGAATATGCATCCTACATCTGGCATCCTTATGAGAAAAATTTAACAGACTCCAACGAATCCGTTCAGAACCGTGCTGCTCACTTTATTTTTAATGACTATTCTCGTACCTCAAGTGTATCATCATTGAAGTCTCGTCTTAACCTTTCTCTGCTTTCCTCCCGCCGTCGCATTTACCCTCTTTTTCTTCTTCATAAAGTCTTTTACACTCCTTTCTTGAAAATGTCTCTTTTAAACCCGCCCACCTACATGTCATGAAGACTGGACCATTCAAACAAGATCGCCCCTCCCAAGTAATCAAGTCAAGCACACCAGCATTCCCTCATCCCTGAAGCCGTTGTGGACTGGAATGACCTCCCGGACGTCATAGTTACCATACCTGACTCCAAGCAATTCCGACTAGCCCATCAAAACCACTTGTACTGAACCACTCCCCTCTATAAAGCTCCCGAGGCATTGAGGGTATGTATAAATAAATAAATAAACTGGGCGTCCATGGCCAACATTGCAAGACATTTTGTTTCAGCTTCATTTTGAGTCCTCACGTGGTGCTTAAACAGTAATGGTGTTACAAACGTCTAAATCTATCGGTCGTGCGGTGACGAACAGGCTGTTTGGCCTCCGTATGACATTGTACACGGGAATGGTAAGTTTACACGGGTTACTTCTGTGGGAAATGCGAAAATTTTATGAGGAATATGACGTACTTATGGAAATAGAAGATTTTGATTATCGTACGTGCTACGTATTTTACCCCCTTACTACCCTTGAGTATATTACATTATTTTATTATGGATGCACGAATTCAAGATTTTTCAAAAGGGAAACAAATAATCAAACATATAAGAATAAAATGCCTGAAATGAAGTTCCTAAGTTTCTGATAAGTAATATTTATAGTATTATTGCCCTAAATAATTATTCTAGAAAATATTACGATTTATGCAGTTGCTTGGTTGAAAACTATTTTTTTTTGCAAACTTTTGTGGAGAAATGTTTAGCGAAGGCGCAAGACACAATGGCCTAATGTCCCAAAATGTTGAGAATGTCACAGTTAAAAAAAAAAAAGAAATTGTTTATACTTAATTTTTTTTTGATTCCATAAAAAGTGGGAATAACTCAACGTTGCACATACCTCTAAGTATCTGTCGTCGGGGATGATCTTGTACTTTGCTAAGATCTTGGCAAACATCAGCTTTAGTTGCTGTTGAGCGTAGCGCAAGCCGACGCAGCTCCGTGGACCATTGCCGAATGCTTGGTATGCCATGGGATTGAACGTTCTTCCATTGTCAGCACTAAACCTAAAAGAAAAAAAAAAGAGGCCAGCTTGCTTATATAGAAGCATCTACAACATAGCGCCGTCTGTCGTTATTTTTAGATTACTTGAGCACAATGAACTTATGCAAAAATTAATTATTCCATTATTTTTTTATGCCCACCTATATGGGCGTCTTTGATATCATACTTTCCTTTTTTTGTGATGTAGAAGACATTTAAGGATAGCCAAAGTGGACCAATTAATATACTTCTTTATCCCCCAAACTAAGAAATGCCGAACATATTTTTAATTATTATCTGTAATGAGTAAGTTTCAAAACACTAAGAAAGGTATTAAGAGGACCTAGATACAAGACCTAGAAAATGGGCAGTTTGTGTTATACAAATTAAATACCTTCATGTGAGAAATAGCAAATATACAAGAAAGCAGCGTATTTATGAAGTCCGATTCAGTTCGAAGATTCAAACGAGTGGCAATATTGTCACTATACGAGGACCGGGATGTTTCGTCATGCGGATGAGGTGGAGCTGGATCGTGTTGGAGCGTCGGGGTGCGGGCGTTCTCCCATTCGGTCTTGAACCGATGGAAGGTCTGACACGCCGGTGACTTCTCTCCAAGGAATCGGTCTTCCCGGGTGTCGTGAAACCGGTACTGGTCATTGCCTAGGACCTAGCAGCCCAGTCCTGGTTTGTGGCGTGACCCAAGCGCCCAGTCTTGGCTGCCGGCCGCTGGCTGTTCTGCGCTGTCTCTCTCGTGTTTTCGCGCTCGTTTTTCCGTGCGCTTATTGTTTGTCGTTCCCATTTGTTCTTCTATAATAATATACACATCACCACAACGGCCTTCCACTTAGGTTTATATATATATATATATCTCGCTGCTGAAGCCACGCTGATTCTCAAAGAAATGTGTCAGCATTTCGCCCCGCTGTTATACATATATAACAAAGCGATCGTGAATGCAGCCTCTCAGCACTTTTCCGGGTGAACATTCCCGAAACCCCTCTTCTTCCTGGTGAAAGCATATCAGGTCACTGAGCGTGTGCATAAAGGACGGCGGGAACAAGCAACCGAGGTGCAGTGGGGGACAGCAGGGCTAGGGCGTATTTGGACCGCCGGTGGGGAGCCGAGAGGCGGTGTTTACCCCTGGCCCAAGGTAGGTTAATATTTTGCAATGAGGCATCGGCAGACTGTCGCCGCGAAGCGCCGTGAACGGGGGGTTAACACGCGCCCCAGTGACACACTCGCCGTCCCCCGCTGTGCGGCGATGAAATTGGCGAAGGGGGACGTCACCGGTGATCTTTGGTTGCTAGGTGTTACGTCACGGCGTCGCTTTCTAGAGCCAACCAATCCAGTGCGGCCTCCGTTTCTATACGAATTCTATGGCCAAGGCTCTCGAAATATGGACTCTGCCGCCACCTGTCGGCGCTTGTAGACGATGTTCCCTAGCCAGCTTCCAGCTTTCACGTGGCGACGTTGCGAGTTTGTGCTCCAAACCAGTCCAAGGTCAGCGCATACACCAGGGCACTAATGCTAACGCGTTAAAAACACGAACCGTTGAAGATATGTTTCTCAACATAGTGCGGAATGTTCACTGCACGAAACATAATCGAGCCACAACCAAATAAAAAATAAAAAAATAAATAAAAAAATTCCTTAAGGCTCAGATTCTTTTCTGAAGAAGTTTCTGGTTTAAGTTATAAGAAAAATATGATACTCCTCTACCTGCGGATGCGATAAAATTTACAGAACTATCGGTATGGAAGCTTCATATACCGGAAAAAGATATAAAACTAACATTAGGCTGAACACTAAATCTAGGTCACTCTCACCGGTATACCGTAATAAAAAATTAATTGCTCCAAACTAATTGGGAACGAGGTATTCACAAAGTTTCTATCGTTCAAATGTTCCAGCAAACCGTTTGTCAGTGACCCACAAAAAGAAAGGTAAAAAATAAGCACAATAGCCATCATCCAGAATGTTTCATCATGGAACACACAATCACATACACACACACATAAAACTGTTTCAGTCTTGTAGCAGAAGGCTGTAGATGCGCGAAGTATACATAGCAATATGTTCCATCAAACTCTTAACCTCAATCGGCCTGCTAAAAATGGGACCTTTACAAATCTCTGTAATGCGAAATTAGAGCGCAGCTCTTGAGGAGAAGGAAGAAAGGGTACGGAGGGAGGGTATGCCCCTCCTCCTCCTCCGTACCCTCTCCTCATCCTCTCCCCTCCTCCTCCTCCATTTACTCATCTCTCCTCCTCCTCCAATTCAGTTTCCCCGCAAAATTTAGCAGGGGAAATGACGTCACATGACTTGGTGTCACGTCACCCATGAACAAATTCAGTTTCTCCGCTAGAGTTAGGAAGAAAATTGAAGTCATGCGACCTCAACACCAATTCAATTCCCCGCTGGAATTGAATTAGTGTTGAGGTTACGTGACATCAATTTTCCCGTTATGGGGTTTCAGCTTTCCCCGAAATCCAGCCGACCCTATATTATACACATGCATTTTGACCCTCCCTCCCGCTCTCCGCACCCCAAGTCATAAACATCCCAGCCATCTCAGCCCCCCCCCCCCCCCTCCCCTCCCCCGAAAAGAAATTCCTGGCTACGCCACTGGTCCGATGGAACCCAAAATAAAGGCTAAAGTTACGTCCCGTTTAACCTACGCGGCTTTTGCGTATGTTTCGCTTTACGGCCGATACATCACGTAAATACAAAAACACATCGTGAACTATTACTGTGTTACGTCCGATGCAGCATTCGTGAATCGGTTAAAATCTCAACTCTATCCGTACCTTCAGGTTTGTTGAGAGGGCTGGATTTTGTTTCTCGCACATCGGAGGCTGCTGAAGCAGGGTGGGTTTGATGCCCGTCATATATTTTTCTTTCTCTTCTTTGCCCTCCTTTAAGACAATTTATCGCATTTTTTTCGATATGAAAACACTTCTTGCTATCCTTGCCGCGTTTGTTACACCTGCTTGTAGCCCTTGCTGGCTCAGTCTGAAAGCAAAGTTGATATGGTAAAGGCCGATGGTCTATTGTCATTTTGATACCCTGGTGGTCCCCTCGAAACAGCTCTTTATTTAAGACACTCTGGTAGCAAACACTGCCCAAGCTAGTGCGCGTGACGACTTGAGTGGTACGTGAAGATTGTGCGAGTTTTCAGCAAGTTTGCCGGAAGCCCTGCTGCTGTAAACTGCACGTTCGTATCGCATTACCATTCTATCTCTCTTAATAATTGCTTCGAACGTCCGCGATTCTCAGAAAGCGTCAGAAGAGATCGTCTTAAATGAGAAAAAAATATTATCTTAAAAAAAAAAAAATACATGAGAAAAAAACACACACACACACACACAAAAAAAAAAAAAAAATGTGACGAGCAACTGTACGTGGAGGTACAGATGCAGTCGCGATTTTAACCAAATAACGAATGCTGCATCGGACGCAACGTAGTAATAATTCACGATATGTTTGTGTTTACGTCATGTATCGGCCGTAAAGCGTAAAATTCAATAAGGTTTCACAGGTTACACAGGACGTAACCTTAGCTTTTATTTCCGTCGCACGTAACTTTAATTTTCATTTCGAGTTCCGTCGGACTAGCTCGAAACCTTGGGGTCAAGTTACGTCGGACGTAACTCTCATTTTAATTTTGGGTTCCTTCGGGCGTAACGTAAGAAAAAAAAAAGGTTTGATCAATTTTAGCTTGTTATAAATCATTCCATTCCAACCCAGTTCGAGAAGTCGCAAGCCACTAGCATCATCGCCCACAAAAGTATTACGATCACAAAGAGGGTGCATGTGCTTCGCACGTGTGACCAATACTCCCGTGGGAAATAATTATTCTATATGAAGCAGACATACAATAGGGTAGTATAGTTTGGTATACATGGCTTGCACGTGACGTCAAAGCGGTTCTCCTTGCTGGTGGTAGAATGCACTAGAAGCTGAGCTGACTCGTTTTCAGTTCGTAGAAATAGTACAGCACCGGTTTTGCAATTCCAGTGTCATTAATGGGGAAAAAATCGAAAGCTGCTCAGCAGTGCTCGCTCCTTGTCGGTTTTTTTACGTCAGCAGGTGCGCGTAAAGGAACGTTGTATCATACAACGCAAAAATCGGTGGGCAGGAGCCGTGATCTACAGCTGGGAGACTCGTCGCCCCTGTGAGGTAGACCAAGTTCTAGGCTGTATAAACATAGACACAACCCAATTATTATTGACCGGCCGATCCTTTTTCAGACACTGCATGCTCGGCAAGTCTGTACGAAACCAAACTTCGATTGCCAGTGAAGGCAACGGCCGGAAACGGCACACGACGTTTTATGTCTCGTCAGTTTCGTACTTTCTCTCGAACATTGCTCTCGAAACTCACGAAACAAAACTTCGACCACTGATCTCAATGACGATTGCTGGATCGCGCTCCTCGCTCCGCGAGTGCGGTCACCGGACGGCCATCTTGCGTGCCGTTTTTGTTCGTTTTGCTTGCATTGCAGAGGCCGGCGGCAGCATGCTAAAGACACGTTTTCTACAAGTTCGTTGTCATTCGTCGAAGACGTTCTTTAAAATCATGTGCAAGCCTGATACTTGCCGTTGAGAACACGTGGAAATTCTACGAAAGCGCAGTGCCGCAAAAAAAAAAAGGCACAACTTCTCGAAAGCAAGTTTCGCCGGTCTCGCGGCGTGTTCAAAGCTTCCTTTGCATGCCGAAGTGTTGTGTCTCTGTGCCTTCGCACGCTTAGATACCAATCAAGAATCGACGCCGCGTGGATGTGTTTTGCGAGTGCAATGTGCGTGAAGCCGTATGTAAAGGTACAACTCGTCGAAAGCAAGTTTCGCCGGTTTCGCGGCGTGATCAAAGCTTCCTTGGCACGCCGAGTGCCGCATCTTTGTGCCTTTGCACGCTTGGATCCCAATCAGGAATCGGCGCCGCACTAAAGTTCTGAAGGTGTGCCGCACATAGATGTCTTCAGATTATATATATATCGGCCACGGAGTTCTGGATCGTCCAG